TTATTCAAACACCATAGCACTGTCCATAGGCAAACTGACCAGTCCCACAGACTATTGGTGTCTGACTTCAAGCCAGAGTTCAACAAACCATTGTACCTCTCTATCACGCCTGCCCCAGGCGGGTTATATGGTACATGAAATTTCCACTTCATTCCTAATTGTTGCACCCATCCTTGCAATGCATGTCCAGTAAAGTGAGTACCTTGATCACTCTCAATCACCTGCAGCCAGCCATAGGCTGCAAAGAGATGCTCTAGGCCCTGCTTGGTGGTTTGCTGATCTGCACGACATGGAGGAAAAACAACCAATAGTCCAATAGCCGTGTCCACACAAGTCATGGCATACCGATATCCTTCTGATATGGGCAGAGGCCCAGTATAGTCTATCTGCCACCTGAGGAGGGCTATCAGCCCCCTTACCATTGTCCCATGTTGCTGTGGAACTCGGTGTAAGTCTCCCTTAAAGCACACGAGGCACTCCTCTCCACAGGCTCAGGGCCTCTCTTTGGCCTCCCCGGCCCGCAGTTCTCCAGCTGGCAGCAGGATCAGCAGCAGCAGCCTTCGGCTCAGGTCATGGGCCAGGGTCATCACAGCTAGCAGCAGTGGTGGCGTTTCCATGACCACATAAGTACAGACACACATTCCTTGGTGCGAGCTCTACTTCCCCATCGTCTCTAGAGGCAGCCCTCCCAAAGGTCACACCCATAATGACAGATTTCAGGTTCAGAGGCCCTGTAGACTACCACCAGATGTAACTCTGGGGAAAGGAAATCCCGGGGCAAAATACCTCTAAAACCAAAATCAGTCAAAGGGAGAAATAAAGTTTAAAACCTCTTTATAGCTTACAAACTGTGGTCTGGAGCCATTTCTCTTTCCTTCTCCAGCAGAAGCAAACCAGACCTCCCCCTAACTCTCAGATTCAGATAAACCCTCAGTTGCCCAGATAATTACCCACTGATATGGAGATGAACTTCTCTCCACCCTTGAGGAACGCCTGTCGATATATGAAGATGTACTGAAGCCAGGTGAGATATTCTGGAAATATCACAATTTTACCCACAAACTTTTTATTTAATTCTCAAATCCCAAGCCACACACAAAAGCACTAAGCACCAAGCATCGCAACATCCACAAGGCAGCCCACCATACAAATGAGGTTACTGAGAGACAGGATTTTAAGATCAAGAACTAATGCTTCAGGGAACCCTCTCCAGAAACTTTTTAGTAAATATGACAATCAGTACTTGTCTGCTTCTTGGTTTAAAGTCTTTTACTCTCATCAAACTCTGAAGGCAAACCACACCCTTTTGACCACCTCTTTTGCTCCTATGCAGCTGAATGACTCAGTAAAAATGATTCCCCATTTATAGTGCTTCCTCCTTAAATCAAATTGGTCATGACAACACCATCTTTCTAGTGAGTGATTGGTTCAGGGACCCAAGCTGCAGCCAATCAGAGCAAGGCATTCTCTTGGTGACTGTGGTGTTGCCTTAAAGCTGTGGCTTAAGCTGCTTCAATTAAACCAAGGGAAATGTCTCAATCTTTAGCAAAAAGAGGCTCTGGATATAAACAAGTAAGCACATCTTGCAAGTATGAGTAGAATCATTCTGAGGACAAAGTCAACTCAAAGAAGACAGCAAAACCTAAAGTTATCTAGAATTCAAGCAGAGCCCCAGTGACTGTACCCTGGAGCTCACTTCCTTCTGCTATTCCTGTCATGGAAAATAAAAATACCTTCAAGGCGTCTTCAAATAAAAAAAAGATCAAGCACTGATGGACAGAAAGTCCTCCCATCAGCCATCTGTTTGCCATGGGTTTGTAGTATTGACCTTGCATCCATTCTGTGTATGTGTATCTTCTATGAATGTTAGTTGGGTAATAATCATGAAAACCCAATGAGAGAAACTTAAATGTCCAGGAATAAAATATTGTAGATCAAACTTTGAAGGACCAAAAACCATTGTAATATGTAAGATGTTTCTGTCTTCCTCCAGAAGCAATTTTTGCTGTCTTTGAGGTTGCAAGCCCTAACCTCTGTGTTTCCACATTTATCCACCTAGCACCTGAATATCAATAACAAAAAATCACCAGTTCACCTAAAAAAATACCCCATCCCACAGCTACCATGAGAGCTCTTCTACTTCCAGCATCACCTTCAGTACTTTGAAACATATTATTAGCCCTTCTGCCAAAAGCCCTCCCTACCCACCCTAAAGAAAGGACACAGACTTTTAGTTTTGGAAGAACACTTAGGGCTCATTCAGCCCCTCCTTCCTCAGATGAGCCCTAAGACTAGCTTGTTGAGGCAATTAATCAAGGCCACAAGTTACACACAGAGATCTTGCCAGTCTGGTTCCCTGTTGTATCTCCAGGCTAGCACTCGCATGGCACATATGATAGTTTCATGTTCACACACATAATGACTGAATGGCTATTAAGCAATTAGTGACAGAGAGCCATTCCCCTAATTCCTAGCCTTTAACTTCCCTAGAAATCAAACGATGGCTACAAAGACTATCAAATTTATAAAGTGTTTGAAAAGCTTCCCGGCTGAAATAAGCTATTTTAGTTTCATATACCCAGTAAAGTTGAAGAGCATGTGTGGTCTGGCTCACTTGTGGTGGAGCACTTCAGCTCACTGAAAGTTAGGGACTTTCTGCAAACAGGCCAATGTACTGCTCCGTCTACAACACACTGCTTCTTACTTGCTTCTCCTGTCTTGAGCTCTTTTCTGGAGTTCTTGGACACATGTTCTATCTCTCTACCCAGACAGAGAACCCTAGAGAGCCAAAACTGTGACTTCTCTTTCTAAAGCAACTACTAAGTTTGAGCACAGAGCAAGTGTTCAATAAATGTTTGTGAAATTTATACAAATGGAAATGGTGTACTATGAGAGACAAAGTGAATTTGGCATGAACAAAAAATTCTCTTTGTACTTTGCTCCTCTCCTAGAACCAGTATAGCACCTAACATGTAATAGGAGCCTAACTCATTGAATTTTAAAAAAATGAATGAACAATATGGAAAAACTGAGAAATTACTAAGCAATTTCCTTTCTACAGTCATTCATTCATTCAACAAATATGTATTTACTGGCAGCATGCCAAGCTGTCTGCTGCTCTGAAACTTAACTTCGCCCACAGAGCTTGAGCCTTCCTCTCTAGCTAATGCATCTCAATACTTGTTCATCCTGTAGGCAGTGGATATAACTAAGGTGGCCATAGGTCTCAATATGTCCAAAACAGTCCCAGTTTAAATTTCTTGCCCAAGTGTTAATTAGTAATAGCATCCCCTTTCTCTCTCAACAATGTCCTAGTCTAGACAGTTACACAGCCCTAACAAATCTTTTTCAACAAGCAGACCACGGATTCAAAAATTTCAATCTACATTTACCAGCTACTCCCAATCTTTTTTCCTCATATATAACATAGGCTTAACACTGAGTAAACCAATGGTTACACATAGGAAGCACAGAGGACAAGGATGGGACATCAGACTGAAACCACACTGTGGAGAACATGCCAAGTACATTGATTCCTAATATACAACAGGGAGCTGTAAAAACTTTTGAGGAAGTGAATGAATGTATGGTCAAAGCACAGTGAAAGTGTTACAACCTTGATTATAGGAAAGAACTAAGACAAGAGGAAGGAAAGACAACTGGCTCCAGGTCATAACAAAAAAGACTGCCTAAAGCTATAAATAAAGGTTGTCATAGATGAAAATAGCAACGTTGTGCTATTTTGTCATTGCCTTTACATGTAGTTTAAAAGTTTCAACATTTATAAATGTTATAAATTTTTATAATAATTATAATTACATTATAAATAGATGCACCTGAGCAAGTTCTAGTTCATTGGTCTAGGGTCTTGGGACCCTCACTGCAAGGGACAGGTTGCAAGGAAGGTACTGGACAGCCAGCTTACCCTCTTTTCTGTCAGTGGTTTCAAGGGGTTGTAGTTCAGATTTGTTTTGTTTTTATTTTAAGGCCTATTTGTTGTCAGGAGTTTCCCCACATCGAGAAAATGGTCAGGAATCTTAACCCGCCTCCTCAATATCTTCCACTATTGCAACATTTGAAACTAAGCCTCTCAGGCAGAGACTAGTAAATTTAAAGTCAGGTAAAATGGCAGCTGCAGCAGTTGTGGGAGCTGCTGCTGCGGGCGGCGGCCTCATATCCTAGCGCAGGGGAGAGCGTCTCTCCGGAGCTGCCAAGTGCTGAAAGGAGCAGTCAATAAAGCAACAGGTCCGGCACACCGCCTGAGGGTGCTCAGACCCCGGCGCGCCAGCCACAGGGGGAAGTGGCTAATTTTTCACACTCTGGAGACCTCAAGAGGCCGAGTTGCTTCTCCAAGCGCCTTCCCTCCTTTAACGACAGACACTGGGGACCAGCATGGGAAAGGCCTTGAGAGGAAAGCAGCATTTCCTGGGCGGCTGCTCCGGTCCCCTAGCCTTCCAGGCCCTAGGCAGCTCCTGCCCTGCCCGCCTGTGCAGACACCCCTGAGGTTCCTTCTCCCGCGGACAGTCCCCTTCATCTCAACGATTGTAAGTTTTTCGGTTCTAGCGCATGGACACTTCTCATAGAAGCTGAGATTCATTGGGCAAGAGATGATTCCACAGTTCCACAAACCTCAGAGGGTCAGTGTCGGGACATCAGGGCCAGACCTCCTAAACCCAGGCGTCCCTGAACAGGCTCAGAACAGTTCAGTGCTGAGAGTCCTGCGCTCTCACGCCCATCCACCCGCCGATTGGACGTGGCGTCCTCCATCCCCACGACCCCATGGTGCCAGAGCCCCGAGCCTCTGCAGCGCGTCCGTTCGCAGCGCCGCGGAGCCTCTCGTCGCTCCCGCGGGGCCAGAGCACCCAGAGCCGTGGCCCCCTCCCGCAGATCCTGCCCCTCCTCCAGGTAGGACTTTGCCTGTCCCAGACTGAGGACCAAGGGGCGGGACCCTGGTCATCCCCGGAGGACTCTCCCATCCCTCTGGGCTTCAGGAGCAGTACCTCGTCCGCTTCCAGCTCTGCTCCGTTGCCTACGAGCGCCATGTTCCTTCTCCGGCTTCCGCCGCCCAAAAACTAAGCAAAGAGCTCAGAACTGACTCCGTTTCCCCGCTCCGGGCACAGCCCAGCGCCAGGGAGGGAGGATGGGGGCGGCCCCACCTTCCCGTCGGGTCCGGGGCGGAGCCAGCGCCCAACTCAGTGAGCGCTTTCCCCGCCCCCGGCGCCCGCAGACTTGCGGGGCACCCATTTCCCTGGCGGCCGCCGGGCGGCCCGCCTCACTCTAAGCTCCGCCCCCGTCGGCCTAGTCCCGCCCTCCCACGCGGCAGCCAGCCAGATTACCGAAACGGGTCTCAGCCCACAGCTGGCAGCGGCCTTGGACTTATGGGGGCGGGGTCACCCTGCGGGCGGGGTCGTCTCGTGGGCGGGGTCACCCGTCAGACCTTGACCTCTCGGGGGAGGTACCTGAGAGTCCAGCTTCCCGACCTCTGCGGAGGGCTTGCGATGGCCTGGAGCCAAAACAGCATGGATGAAGCCAAGGTCAAAGCTGCGCTACCCATGAGGCCGGTGGTAGCGTCCACCTGGTCCTTGGGCCAAAGGCAGTACTCGTCCCTTGTCAGGTGGACACCGAGTCTCGCAGACGGTGCGGTGAGAAGACAGTCTTGGGTCACGGTCACAGGTCATCCAGAGGCCTCTGTCACACCACCTGCTATTACCTAGGTCAGGGGCATCATCTTCACATACAGACCTCTGTTTCTGTGTATGTTTGCAAAAGGAAAGAAAAATCACAGTACAGATATGTATACAACTAAGAGCTCCTCTACCCCTCCTCCCACTACCCCGTCCGTTTATGTTCCCATAGCATCCCACACTGACTGCTTTTGTAATCCCAAGCATAGGTATCTAGTTCGTGCTTGAACTATAAGCTCTGTGAGGGTAGAGTAGGTACTGTTATTTTACAGATAAGTAAACTGAGGCTCAGAGAGTTTAAGTAATTTGCTTACGGTCAGACAGCTATTAAGCAAGTATGTCTGTCAGAATCTGAACTCCAGGAGTCTGATTGCAGGACATGGCTGGTAACCATTGCTCTGCCTTGCCTGCAGCCACCCTCCCTTCCTTTCCCCTATTTGTTCCAGTAGAGCAGATGCCTGCACATGTCTCCAACATACATTTTGACTGAGTCACCTTTGCATCCTTGAAACTTGCTCTATGATTTCAGTGAGTCACTGTGTACCTTTATACTAGAAAAATAAAATGATTTCTATCCCATAAGTAAAATGAAAAAATGGGTCAGATTGTTGTGATGGCTGCACAATGAATTTACTACAAATCACTGAATTGTATACTTATAATGGGTGAACTTTATGGTTATGTACATTATATCTCAATAAAGCCACTTTTAAAAACTGGTTAACACATTTTTTGGGTGCTCTTAGAATCAAAGACTAGAAGGGATGTAGAGGTCATTTAATTCCATACCTCTGAAAATTTCCATTCCTTCCCCTCACCCCCTCCTCTTTATACTCAACTTACTGAGGCTAGATTTCCTGTCTGGGTCCAGTTCTACTCTGTATTACTCATGCATGATTCCATTTTTTAAAGTTCATTGCTTCCTAAATTAATATCAGATTTCTTTGACATGAAACCATCTCATTAGCTGCCTCTTTCTCTCCCAGATGCTGTGTTTTTAATCTTAGAAATTTCAACTCCTCAAATTTTGTAAGAGATAAAATAACTTGACTCTAATTAGTGGAATGGTTCTTATAATGTGAATCGCATCTAACTTTTCTGAAGTCTATTCTTATAGATTAAGTTTGATGGATTTCTTTTTAATATCAGGGATCAAATCTGAAGCCTGTATGGTTTAAATTCACATCAGTTGGTGAGCAACGCTCATATTTCTGAGGAAGCCAATAATAAACACTAAATGAATAAATGTGTTCTAGCCACAGGAACATCTAATCAAACTAGCTTTAATCACCTGGCAGATGCCAGCTTTCTTTTCCTGCACATGTATGATTTTACAAGATCATGCATAAAAAGTAAAACAGCTCTTTTCAAAGAACAATTAGAATGGATTCATTTTGTAACAGAATTTCCACTGCCAGTTTGCTGATAACATTGTACTCTAATGGTCAAATGAGATTACTCAAATATTCCATTTTCCAAAAGTAACTAGAATAAGGATTAAGCAAGAGCAATTTCTGAATTTTTTTTATTTTGAAAGCATATATACTGGGAGCTGTTTGGATTTCAGAATAAATCTAATATTGTAGAAATCCAATCTTTAGTATTCCTGAATTTGTTACCCCAGCAAATGTAAGGATTTTTGTTGATAATTGTTTTAAATAAAAATTGTACCTTTATCATTTGTGTAGTAGGAGAGAAAATAGCTTTACATTTAGAAATGAAAAATTTTAGATGCTCAAATCCATGAAATAGGTGCTCAATGCAAACCATTTGTCAATGGCTTTGTCTCACATACATGCCTTAACAGTTCAAGCAGAACTTGCCCTTCTAAAATAGCCCCTTTCTCTCAATCACATTCTACCATGTCCTACTGTATGCACAGATAGCAGTATATGCAACCATCTTATTCATTTCTTTGTTTACTTGTTTATGGCCCATCTCCCTCAACAGCAACACCCCCACACACATACACTATAAAGTAAGTTCTGTAACAGAAGGAACCTTGTGTTTGGTGTCAGCAACAAAACTCCAGTGCCCAACATTCAACAGATACCTAATAAATGATTGTTGAGTGAATGAATGAAACTATAAGTAATGAATGAAGTTCAGAGTATGCTGAGAATTTTGTTTAGACCTTTAATGCCAATGCTTTAGTGTAGAAATTTTTTTAATGGAGAAACCAGTAATAATGAGGGAGATTAAAGAATGCAAATGATATGAAGTCTAAAAAGTAAACACAGTTGTTCCTCCGGTAATGTAGCAGACATGATAATGTAGCAACCATCTTTAATGCCTACTCATTTTTTCAATACAATAAAGAACGAAGCTCCCAGATGTCCCTCAGTGATCTAAAGTGGATTAATTCATGTCCCCAGGGGAGGCTTAAACATTAGGGGGAAGAAACCTCATCATTTGGTGGAGGCTGAAATCCTACCTTAAGAATATCCTTGTTATAATTATGTAAGTTCATTATACTGATAGTGATGAAGGTTTCACAATGTTTATGTACATTAGAACTTTAAGAATAGTTTATTGTATGTCAGTTATACCTCAATAAATCTGTTAAAATATATATATAATATATCCCTCTTCTAGGCATGTGGAGCTAGGTAAACATTCATTTTGCCTGTTTATCAGTTCTTTATTCACTTTTTTCACATACACATATATAATCTTTCCAATTGCCTTCCTGTTTATGTCTTCATTACATCTCTTCAAATTTGATTAACTTCATTTTTTCAGATGATGAAAATGAGACTCAGAGAAGAGAAAACCAAAGCAAAGACTAACTTGGCAGAGTGTAGTGCTGAGGATTTAAAAGCAAGAATAAATAAGCTATCTGTGGCAGAAGTTGCTCTTTGTCACCTGCTGTTCATTCACACTTTGCTCCGTTAGTAAGAGAAACTGATTTTCCATAGGCAGTTTGGTGCCTGTCTAAAAGGGTACATTTTCAAGGACTCCTTTATAACTACAAATGGCCAATGTAACTAAATTCTGGCCAATGAAATGTATTTATTCGACATCCAGGAAGGCTATTTATAGGGAAATGACTCAAAGGAGACTTGTGCCCTTTTGCCTTCTGCCTTTTCTCCTTCCCACAACCAGGACAGATGTGATGGTTGGAGCTCCTGCTTCCCTACTGGACCATGAAGTAACACGCTGAGAATGGAAGCCAAAAACTAGAACTGTGAAACAAAAATAAAGAGTCTGGATTCCTGATAACTATGGAGCTGCCACACAAGTACTTGAACTAGCAACCTCCAGATTTCTGTGACATGAATGATAAATCAATTACTATCATGTTTAAGCCACCTTGGTATTGAGTTTTCCATTATATGCATACAAACCTAACTGTAAATGTACAATTATCTAATTCAAAGCAGTTTTGCAGCCTCTGTGTCCCTTCTGTCCCGAAGACACCTACCCCAAGTCCTCTTTCTCTAGGTTTTGCGCTACCTTCTTTTCTGGCATGTTTCCTTCACATTGCTATAGTCTTTTATTGTCCTGCAAGTCCAAATATTCTCCACATTCAGGAGGGTACTAGCACCTTTTTAAAAAAAAAACATTCTTACCATATTTCATGCACAGCTTTAGTAAACCAATAATTATCTTTCGCCACCTTCAGCAATTCTATTCTCATAGACTCTTTTAGAATTTACAACACTTCTGATTGGGTATTTGGGTTTATGTCAAGCAGTTCCTACGCTCAACCTAGACAAGGAGTCACGGATACAAACCTTTTCCATAAGACCTACACATAGTAACGCTTATCATCTAAATCAGTTTTGACTATAATGATTAGCTCTAAGTATCTCTAAATAATGGTTCTCAAACTTGAGCACAAATCATGTAGAGGGCTTAAGACACAGATTGCTGGCCCCAAACCCCAGGGTTTCTGTTTAAGTAGATCTAGGGTGGGGCATGATTGTTCCTGCTGCTAATTCAGGAACCACTACTCTCAATCAGGGCAAGCAACTTGAGTCTCTCAGGCACAAAAGGCTGCCTGCCAGAGAGAACCCGCCAATTAGGGTTCAGGATGAAAAACTAAACATGTGCTTTTGTGTTGTCACCTTAGCACACACAGTCTAACACTGACATTCCACCTAAATGAAAAACTGTGACCGTTTTCTCCTTTATGTTCTTCCAACAATAATCAAAGCAATCTAAGGGGTAAAAATATATCTTTATTTTTCATTTGATTCCATAAAACCACTTCCATTTCATTTTCATGCATTACTATTTTGGTCCAATTAGCTAATGTGAAAAAGGTAGGTCGTCACTGCTCCAAGGCAGCCTGACCCACACAGACACCTGACCACCAATAATAAAGTCTCATCAAACTCCTTGAGACCCAGATTTGTGATCTTTGAACAATCCACTTCAATTCTTTCAACTTTTTTTGAATGCGTATGGAATACAGAATGAGGGGTTAAATTACACAAATCCTGGGATTTTTTTAGTTGAAATGAAAGGAAGTTTTCCTTGACTTATAGTTACGATGAAGAGGGAGATGTGGTGACTAGAAGGAGCCAAGTAGATAATATTACATGTTTCCAAATTATCAAGTATCTCAAGTAATTTCCCTCAAAATGTCATCATAGCTAATGTGCTAGAGGGAGAAAAAGGCTTTTAAAGTAAAATC